TTCCTGTCTAGCTCTCCCTCTGTTCTTGTGTGTTCCCTTATTTAACCCCCTCCTGGCTGCTTACTGAAAGCCCAGACACCTGGCTGCTTTTGTTCTGCTCCTGGTAAATTTCCACTGCTCCTGCCTTCTCCTCTCCCTCCAGAGGGATAAGATAACACTGGTCTTCTAAGGATGCAGCTATTCTTTAGCATAACTATTGTGACTAAAATGCCATCATTAACTGCAAGTATTTCCCATTGTCCTTGTCCGGTGTGCACCTGCTACAGGTCCTGTCAGCAACGGTGGCTCCACATACATATAGGTACTCAGGATACAGCAGTTTTAATAGCAACAATTATCATCCAGAATTCATGAGTTGGTGCAGACACTTTCCCAAATGGTCACTGTGACAGGTCTGGCAATTTCCTGGCCAATTACATTTACAATAAATTACATTTAAGTGTTTTAGGGGTTCATTGTATTAAAAGGGCAAATGTTAATGCGTGATTGTGTATCACTTCTTTAAGGGGGACGCTGGACTAATGTAAACCCTGGGAAGTGCTATGAGCTTCAAAGGACTATTTGAAACAATGCACTAGCCAGGATAGAACTTTTAATGGAGTGGGTTTCCTAGGAAATACTTGGGAGGAGGGGAATGCAAATTACCCACCTTTGGACCCATCCTTTCGAAGCTGTGCCCTGAGGAGAAACTCTTTGCTGATCACCTGTTACATGAGGATCAGAGGCCCAAACTGAATAAGAGTGACTCACAGATTCGGGGGTGGGGGAAGGGTGCTTGTTTTCAGCTAACAGCTTTTATGAATTTATCCCCACAGTAAAATTCCTGTGTGGCTTTGAAGGACTGTTCAGCAGCCAGCGCCCTTGTTGGAGTAGCAGGATGATCTCTGGTAATTTTTTTAGCATGCATGAAGGTTCTTTTATTGGTTTTAACGTGTTTTCTCTGTATCGCTTTTATCTGAAGAATAAATGTGCTTGCTCTGAAATAACTGTGTGGTAAACTTAACTGCGAGCAATTACACCATTCATAGCCTCTGTGGAGAAAAGCAAAGCAGACCTGCTTCGGCACTCTGACTTTGCTGGGCAATTCATGGTATAGGCAGGGGACTGTGCAGCCTGGAAATACAGCGGTCAGGAGGGAGAGAGATGGAGGTGTCCACCAAGAGAGGTGAGGGCTGAGGAGCCGGAAACCAGTGGCTGCCATCGCTGGACCACGGAGGGGGAATACAGCTGCCATTGCCCTGCACCGTGAGAGTCACGCCATGCCACTTAATACACTTCACCCTGGCTCCTTCTCTCCTGCCCACTCTTCTTGCATGATCTGTTAGCTGTCTGGATTTTGTGGTGGATGGCGAAAATGCAGATACATCATGGTGGGAGTGGGATGGATCAGAAATTCCTTTTTTCCCCTGCTGTCTAAGCCCATGACAACTTTCTCTGAAGTTTAGCCTCCCGTGCACAGCTAGGGAGAGTGTAGGGGCTTAGTACACTAGTGTATTACATCACCAAAATGCCACAAGAAACATAATTATTTACAGAGGAACCATTGTTCTTCACCCAAACTGCACTATCACTTTGAAATACAGACCCAGGCATTGGTGTGCAGGTTTTGTTTTTTTAAGCTTCAGACAATAACAACACTTACACAATCAGCAAATGGACACGTCATCTATTCTGAGGTGCCACGAAGTTGATGATCAGGTTTGCCAGCTCCTAAAACTTGATTTCCCTGTCTGCTGTGAAGAACTAGTCTCTTGTGATAAGAGGAGTCAGAAATTTCAAAGGGCATCCCCCTTTAAATGAGATTCTCTAGAAATGAAAGCATGGAGCAACCAGAGCACTCTATTAGTTGATGCAAGTGTGTTCCCGGTGTTAATGATTGATGTGTGGGCGGACCTTATTGCTCCATAAAGTATCTCAAAGTGACAGCGAAGTTTGGCAATAGGAATGGCAAACAGCTGTGAAACCTATTAAGAGAACAAAAAGAATATTGCTTTATCTGCCCAAATGCTTCTTAGTTAGTAGCTCCTTATTGGTCACAAAATAAAATAAAAATTAGATCTAAAAAATAAACAAAAAGACCTAAAACAAACACAAACAAAAATCAGCTTACCCTGAATGGAACTTTTATATCCTGTCCACTAGGGACTTTGCTCTTGACAATCTATTTCAGGAGTAGGCAACCTATGGCACACATGCCAAAGGCGACACGTGAGCTGATTTTCAGTGGCACTCATACTGCCAGGGTCCTGGCCACTGTCTGGGGGGCTCTGCATTTTAATTTTAAATGAAGCTTCTGAAACATTTTAAAAACTTTATTTACTTTACATACAACAATAGTTTAGTTATATATTATAGGCTTATAGAAAGAGACCTAAAAACGTTAAAATGTATTACTGGCATGCAAAACCTTATGTTAGAGTGAATAAATGAAGACTCGGCACACCACTTCTGAAAAGTTGCCGACCCCTGATCTACTTCATGTTGAAGGTGCTCTCATACTGTGGTGATGGGTGGCATTATAAACCAGACAGACTGCCACAGAGGTCAATAAGGATTGAAACAAAGGCAGCCCTTTACATTCAAAACAGGTGGCCCACCCCAGTTGAATTTCAAGTTTTAATAGGATTACAAAAGACCCTTCTAATTATAAGCCTTGGGCCACCCTAAACAATCCCTCTGCCTACGCAGTGTTTGCACCCTTCCTTATGTTAGGGAAATAAACCTGGCCCTGCTTATTGGTGAATACAGTCTTATCAGCAACCAGCAACTTCTGTGGGGAGGGGGAGGTGAGAGTGGGTGCAGGGTGACCATCCCTCATTCCCAGGGTTGTTACTGGGCAGGATTTTAGACAAGGTCTCCGCTGAGCCATAGGCTGGAGTAATGGCTAACACACCTGCCACATGGTCTGCCCCCTTGAAGCATGTTTACTCTCCCACCCCCCTGTGCATATGCTGCTGTGGGCCTCCTAACATTGTACAGAAGCAGAAAGGTGCATTACACAACATATTCACATGAGCTGTGCTGCCCTAGGCCAGCAAGATGGGTTAGGGATCCTCCGGGGTGGGGGGGGAAGAGGCCTCAACTCTACTCCTGCCTTCCTCCACTCAGTGCAGTAAGGACAAGATTTTTCCCAGTGTGTTTCAAAAGCCATCTGACGCTGTTAGAAAATCGAAAGTGTTGCTGAGATTAAGCTATAATGGGTGAAATCCTAACCCCATTGACATCAATGGGAGCTTTGCCATTTACTTCATTAGGGCCAGGACTTCACCCAATGCGTGCAGTATATATAATAGGTTAACGTGCCTCTGAATTGAGCCAATACAAATGGCTTGATAGCCAAGCATTTTCAGTCACCACTAATATAGTCAGCATCTCGAGGCATTTGGTACCAGAGGCTGTGATTACATGGAGAGAATTACTATTTCTCATCAACCACCATAGACAGGTTATAGTCTGGCATTTTTCTCCAATTAGCAACTGCTCTGAGGGGTGTAGCTGTCATTTTCTCTGTTAACGTCTTTCAGTGACAAATCTGCTTTTTGTTGTTTTTTTGGTATGTCAAATTGTTCACCCTGCTCCTGTGTCAATCTGGTTCACTTTCTGCTAGGTATTTACCCTAAAAACAACTGTTTGGCGTACACACCTCAACTCCAGTTAATACCTTTCCAGGTGCAATGATTATAGAGAAAGCAAAGCAGGGACTCACACACAGTGCTGTCCTAAAATCATATGAGAGTGAAAGGGTCATACAGTGACTTTATGGCTTCAGAGCCGATTCCTTATGGAACATTCACTAATTTTATAGATTTCAAAACATCAAGGTGATTAAGAAAGAAAAACTACTGTATCATCTCATCAAGTACACAGATACCCAAAATGTTCACACAGATTGTGGGTATGGCTAAGGAATATAAAATCTAGCACATTTCAAGTGTGATCTGCACATTTCTTTGGACACAGTCTGTGGTACTACAGTTTCCTACAAAAATTCTGGAGGGCCTAGAAGTGGTAACGCCTGTCTAATCTAGTCAAATATGTGCAGTACCCTCTCTCCTCTTTTTGGCCCAGCTAGATCCACAGGAGTGGACCCTTGTGCCTATATGCAGCCCTGATGAAATCAATGGGGCTCTGTGCAAGTGCACTGTTCCAACCAGGTGGGTCCAGCAGCAGGATCGGGTTGTAAGGTATTTGTGGCAGGGCCTGTCTTATATCTCTGTGATTAGCACATTGTCAGCTTTAATAATAAGTAAATAATAATGTAGTGCTCCTGGATCATTGATCAGCTGACTGTAGGTCCTGCTGGAATAGGATCCATGTGCAAACATGGTACTTTAATCATCCCTCCTTCCTCCCTCTGCTCTAACCCCGCATTGGCAGTAGGGAAGCTAGACTATGTATGTTCATCTTAGTCAGGCACATAATACATGGCCACTCAGCATAAACCTGCACTCAGGGCTCAACATGTTTTAATTTATTACATTCACCCCGTTATTAAAACTCAGAGCACACATAGCTCTCCCTTCCACATCATTAAACCACCCCCCTATGAGCCGCCGCAGTGCGTCTCCCATTGACATGGTGCTGTCCACACTGGCACTTCTGTTGGTGTAGCTTATGTTGCTGGGGGGGGGAGGGGTTTCACACCAACATAAGTTATACGGACAAAAGTGCTAGTGTAGACACAGCCTAAGCCGATGGGGCTCCTCTGGGCCAAGGTGTATTGAGATGCCTGGGGACCACTCAAGATGTGGGCCTGTATTTGGGAAATGCTTTTTGCAACCTGATCCAAAACGGTTTGAAAACACGGAGGGGAGCTGCGCTCCGGCCGGCTCAAGCCCTGCAGGTAGGTATGGCACAGGGACCCTGCCAGGGCAGCGTGCTAGGAATCAAATCATCAGCAACCACCCCCAGCCGCTGAGCTCCCATTCGGCGCTTGCATCGCCCGCCCCCGGCTCCCTTAGGCAGCGCGGGCCGAGCCGGCTGCGGGCGGGGCTGGCCGCCAGTTCGCGCTCTGCCTCGGGCGAGTCCAGACGTGCCCGGTCCAGTGCCGTGCCCGGGCAATGAACTAACTTGTGGAAACACGCCAGGCATCCTCGCCGCTGATTGGCTGAAAGCCCAGGGGGGGCGGGAGGAATTCCCTTTCCCTACCTCACCACCGGGTAGGAAATCCCCGCAACCCCGTGTCTCCCTTTATCGCGCAGCGGCGAGTCGCGGGCAGCCAGAGGCGTTTAGGCGGGCGAGAGGAGAGCGTCGCTCGGCACCGTCCTGCTCCTGACACGGTCCCCAGGCAGCCTGGTCTGATCTCCCCGCCGCTGCAGACCGCCGGCGAACGACGCGAAATGATGCCGGGAAAGACCCTGCGCAAGGGTGCGCAGCAGAGCCCCGCTCCCGCAGGTACGGTACCGCCCCGTCCCCCCCAGAGCCGGGTGGGTGCCCGGGGGCTGAGCCTGGCCCCGAGCGCCCTTAGAAACGCGCTGGAATTAGATGATCGCTGGGATGGAGTAGTTTAGTCAGTTTCACCTTCTTGTGTTATCCGGCTGCATAGGGAGCGAGAGCGGTTTTGCTTTCTGTTCTTGTGTGAGCAAAATAAGTTTCCGTTTTGAATGGGTCAAGGTTTCCCTCGTGCCTGGGGGAAGATTAAGAAACAGGAATTTTTTTTAACTTCTAAATGACGGTGTTAGCAAAAAGGAAAGCCAGAATAATGTTTTAGCCTGATTACTAGATGCTCCATGCAGCCCACAGTAATACTGGTGGTTCAGATCTTTGCCACCTGAGATTGGAACCCGTCTAAAACCATGTTTTAGCGGTGATCACTAGAGCTAGGTCCAAGGCACCAAATTCGGATCTCGATTCGAACCACCACCCAGTTCAGGGAACATTTGGCTCCAAGGTTGTGGTTTCTAAGTTCCGACTCCCTCAAAAAAACTGGGGTCTTTGGATCGGGGGGATTCAGTTTAGGATCATTTCTAATGACCGCTCCATAAATACTGACTGCGAGCTCGATTCTGGTCTCCCAGTTGTTTAACTTCATCGCCTTCACTGACGGAACTGGATTCACTCAGATAACAAAAACAACGAGGAGTCCTTGTGGCAAATTTGTTAGTCTCTAAGGTGCCACAAGGACTTCTCGTTGTTTTTGCTGATACAGACTAACAGGGCTACCACTCTGAAACCTGTCACCCAGAGAACAGAATCCCGCCTTTTCTGAAATACCCGAGAAGGCTGTGTAACAGTACAATCTAGCAGGATCAAAGTAGTCATGCTTTGTGGCTTGTCGTTTGATCAGTGCTAACTTTAAAAAAAAATAAAAAATATGACGGTACTTAGGGTAATATGGGATTGCTTTCCCCAGTCCAAACAAGCCCCTACAGCTACTAAAAACTGTTTTTTAAAGGTTTCTGGGCTTTTTATTTTAAATTTCTGTTACCAGCTCTGTAAGCAACTATACACCTTTACAAATCTCTTACCTCTTGGGGTAAAATGTTTATTTAACTTATAGACATGTATGATTATAGAAGAGCTATCCACTATAGACAAGAAAGTGTATGGAATTCACAAAGCTGATGACTGGTTTTCCTTTGTGTTTTACAGCACAGGAAGCTGTGATGCAGTGCTCTTCGCAACTACGCAAAATAGGAGATATATGCAACCTGCAGCAGAAGATTCTTAATGTTATTACAAAACTGTTCTGCCCAGGAACGTGAAAACTCTTTGGGAGATGTCAAAAAGAAAAGGAAGGAAGAAAACAATGGTTTTGGAAAATATGGTCTTTACAAGCTTGTAATAAGTGACTTGAATGAGAGGAGGAGATGGAATGAGCTCTATGCATTACTTACTGCTGCCTATTCCCACTGAAGGAAGGCTGTTGAAATATGATTTCTCTGGAGAGCTGGACATATGTATTGGCTGGTGGATGTCAGTATGGGAGAAAAATTACAATTAACCATTCCAAAGATTGACCTGTGGAGTGACTTGGAAGAGCAAGGAACCTGGGGTTCTGTTCTGGTTCATGAGTTGCAGCTAGTTCTATGTCACTTTGAGCAACAGGCAGAAGATGCCAGTTACCTCCAAACATTGGATTGGAATGTACAACGAAAACCAGTTTCTAAGTTCTTGATTGTTTTTGTTTTCTAAAATGTAGACTCTATAGTATAAAATCTGGTGTGGAACATTTTTTTTTATTGTTATTATTTTTTGGTTGTAGCACATTTACTGTCAGTGATGTTACTTCTTATGCAGATGTTTCTCTAAGGAATAACATTGTAATTCTCTTAATTATGAGACTGCTGTAAGGATCTAGGATGTATATAGGTGTATGAAAAGAGTATTTAATGGATCTTAAAGAGCTGACTTATGGCTTATGCACCAGAAATAGTGCAGATAACTATTCAAACGGTACTATAAAGAATGCATTAAAACAGATTAAAGGAAGCACAGTAGCTTCTGGTGATTAAGAAAGAATAAGAAATATGAATAAGAAAAATGCATACATTAAAGCATGTATTACCTAGCAAAATAAGATTATTGATAGGTGTGTGAGTTTGGGGGAGATTCCTTCACAGCATTAAAAGGAATATTCAAACAGAATAAGCTACTGGTGTGATTTAATTTTATTATGAGGTAATAAAATTACTCTCAAAACAAATAGAAAGTTAAAGTAAAATGGAATCAGTGGTTTTTCTGGAGAAAAAACATGAATTATTTTTCAAATAAAGTAACTGCTTAGATTAAGAGATATGTCAATAAAACTGAATGTTACAATTGTTACAGGAAAGTAATGTATTGCTTCTAAATGAAAGCTGAGATGTTGACTGGAAATAAAGGATAAGAAAAAACTCAGCTCTTATTTGGTGTCAACCTCATTTTTGTTTGTAATGATGAAGATGCTGTTATTTTGTCTAATGGATGTGATATGTAAGTGAGATGCTTGTTGCATCCTTATTGAAAAGCTACATTGGGCCTGGCTTGGAGGAGAGACTTGTTCTGCACTTCAGTCCATTAGAAAGCAACTTTTCTGTTTGTATATTATAAAAGCCCCTTGAATCAAACACAAGAGACAGGGCAACTACCATGTTTTAGCCAAATTAATCAGTGTCTTAAAATGGGCTAAATTATATATGGGATGTCAACTAGTAGGAAAATGGATGCAAGTGACAAAATAATGTAATTTGCCTGGGTTTGGTATTCAGAGGGTGTGCAAAATAAGTGTCAGTTTCAGGCTGAAGGAAGATGTAGCAAGAAAAGTAACTTGAATTCACACTCTCTTGCTTCTACTACACTTTCCTCTTGCATGTAAATTACATCTGTCTTATATACCTTTTGAATGCCAGATCAGCGCAAGTTATACCATTTCACTGCTTGTATCCATTTTGGGCTCCCTTGCCCTTCATGTGCAATTAATTCCACACTAAGTCACCAATGACTTTGAGCCAGGGGTTCCCAAACTTGGTTCGCGGCTTGTTCAGGGTAAGCCCCTGGCTGGCCGTGAGACATGTTATTTTTCTGAGCGTCCACAGGTATGGCCGTTCGCAGCTCCCAGTGGCTGCAGTTCGCTGTTCCCAGCCAATGGGAGCTGCGGGCCACCACTTACCCTGAACAAAGCGCAAACAAAGTTTGGGAACCCCTGATTTGAGCCTACGATCTTGTACAAATCTGCTTTCTTTCATGAGGTTTTCATTGTAAAGCTCTTTTCAATACCCCAGGACCAAGTATCCAGCTATCTGATTTGCTGACACTTTTGATTTCATTTGGTATAATCTCAGATGCTGTTTTTTTTTTAATGTATAAAGGGCCCAGTCCAGCTCCCGGCAAAGGAACTTTTGCATTGGCTTGAATGAGAGCAGGAGAAGGCCCAAACATAGCAAGATTTTCTCTTCCTATGACCTATCAGATATTGTGTTCTCAGTGAGAATGTAGCATTTCAGGATGGTGTTGTTTTATCCACAGTGCCACAAGCTAATGTGATAAACGTGAACTTGTCTCCCTAAAAGTCATGTCTCATTCAGAAGCACCTTTTCAGGTATTAAAGGGTGACTGTCGTTTTCATTTCTGTTATGCCAAATTTTAGCTCCCTGAATAACTCCACGAGACTAAGCAAAGCTGTTCATTCATGGTTTAATCTAACAGCCACTGAATTCAATAGAAAGACTTCCAGTGGTTTCCATGGAGTTGGATCACAGTCTTAAGTGAAACTCCAGTGAAGTCAATAATAGTTATGTCAGATTAAGAATCTCAAGAAAATGTAGTATTAAGGAATGGGGTTGTTGCTAAAATACACCCAAATTAAGGTGTTCAGCTCAATGCGTGCAGCCTTACAATTAATTAGGATGCTAGCCAAGGTTTCAAATGGCCCGTCAGTAATTTCAGGCTGTAAGCAGCAAAAATAATAGCATAAAGCTGTGAGAATGAACTATGTAAATGTCAGAGGGACGTTTCAGCTAGGAACTGCAGCACTTTATTGTATAGATTTCTAATGGCAATGTTTATTTTTCATGGAATGTTTTTATGTTGCTAAATTCCATAGTATGTTTATTTGGTGATTGTTTAATGTTACGTCAATCGAACTGCTTACAGTGAATTCAAAAGAAGAATTAGTTCAAAGTGACTAATCTCTGTATCAGTTTGGTTATGTGTTCTGTGGGTACAGATTCCTTGCCTTACTTTTCAAAATGATGTGTCATATGACTGTATCAACATGAGATTGTTTTTCTCAAGGCATTTTTTTGGGTTAGGGACAGATGTTTTGTTATATGTCCCAATAAAGTGTGTCTGTTGTTATCTCGTTAAGATAATAAACATGATGTGTTTGCAAGCAAATTATTTTTTGTTGTAAAATCTGTTTTCTGAGGATTCTGAATGAAAGGTCATATGCCAATTCCTTCTGAATTATTAAGAGTTTAAGGTCACACACTCAGTCATTAGATACCTACCAGAAGACTTGCAGTGATCTATTGGATTTTATTTATGATCCCTTGGATATGAGTTATAACTAAGGTCACCAGAATTCAAAATGAGAAAGCAGGTCACCTATTTTAATATTGGTTAGTGAATATTTGCACTACTACCCTTTGCTGGGTGGAAGCAGAATTGCTCAGCTGTGTGTCAGAAGCCCTATACTTAGCTTCTCCTTTAGCTCAAAGTGGTAGGGGTTTGTTCATTATGAGCAAGAGGCTCTATTTATCTAGCATCTAGTAATCTGCATATCAAAGTACTATTGAATGATACAAAGCATAATCATCCCACAAAAACCACCATGAAGTTCCTGGTGGCCATGATGGGCAGCCCTGTGACGACAGTGAAGTCTAAGAAGGACATAGGTCTGTCATCATTTGTCTTGGGTGCTTAGGGAGTGAACATGAGAGGGGTTTGACAAGTGGGAAGAGGTTCAGGTTTGGGCTTTTCCACAAGTCATGAAAGGTTTAGATGCTGGGTAAGGATGTCAGATTAATGGTACTTGTCATGGTGGGGGGGAGCAGCTATAGCCTAGCAAAAGGATACTACAAAGCTACTCCCCCTATTCTCCCATAAGCCCTGAGTCCAGGTGCATCTCTGTATGCGGGGGCGGGGGGTAATCAGTTTATTCTCCATTTAAATCTAAAGGCTTCTCATGACCAAGGCCTTGGCAAACTCCTTCTCTCCAGGTTTGGAAGCTGCAGTGGCAAGTGGACCATTGTGCGCACATGCTCATGTGTTCAATGCAAGGCAGGACTAAAAGAGATTTCACCCCCCCCCCCAACTGCTGCCGGTTTTGAGAGGCTGGGGTCTTGAGGTGGGAGTGAGTCACCATCCCACCCCAATGAGAAACCACCAGAGGCTTTGGTTAACTCAGCCTGAGAGAGCAGCAACATGCCCATTCAGGAGAGGCAGGTAGGATGTTCCCTACCTCCAGCCTGGCCCCAAGAGCTAGGGTCAGGTAGCACTGTGACTATTTACACATTCTTACAGGAGGCAATTTACAAAACTAGGCCAAATCCTTTCTTTTGAGGTCATCCACAGAACACCCCCCACACACATTCAATGGACCTAGCACAGTTCTGTTCTGACTATTAGAAGAGGGGCAATAATTTTTGCCAGTGCCTTAAGTATCTTGAGTAATGCACAATCAGATTTTTATAGCAGCATGTCAAGGGTTATACCACAGTCATCAATCCCCCCTCTAAGGGATAGAAAAACCTCACCACACACTATGGATATTTACATCAAAGGAGCACGGGACTCTGACTCATCCACAACAATCTAACTTGAAAAGGTGAAACACACAGAAACAGAGACAAACACAAGCAGCGCTACCTGCTCAGCTCCAGGTCTCTTTTCATTAGACACAGAACAATAGACACCTGCCAGGCCAACACGTGCAGGTCTTTCACATTCAACTTTAGGCTGCTCACGTGAAAACCAGACTGACCCACTCCGGCACCTGGAGTCACATGTACTATCTCCTAAATGCTCTGCTAGACACCAGCTCTCCAAATGATTTTAGCCAACCGGAAAGACCCGCCTCATGTTGTGGTAACTATTCTTAGTATGTGTTAATTTAAGGGAATCCTTTTCCTCTTATTAGCACCATGAGCCTGGAGGTGTGGCAAGAGCAAGGAGGAGGAGATAGTGGTACAAGTAACGTGAAGCAGGCTTGGCTGGAGCACATGGTGAGGTATATTATCATGTGCAATGTTGTTTGTAAACTGGATGTGCTATTCAACAGTCTGACTATTTTTTCATGGTGATTGAGATAAGCGTAGAGCCTTAACCCACTGTCAGAAACAAGGAAGCATCTTTGTTCTAAAACAGTGGTTTTCAACCTGTGGTCTGCAGACCTGGGGGCCCGCAGACTATGTCTAAGGTGTGGTCACTCTAAGGCCTTTTTGCAGTAGGAGCAGCAGCGGTGGCCATTAGCTAAAAGTGGGCAGTCATGTCCCATCAAAACTGTACAAAACAACAGAATATCTGGCTTTTAAAGCACCCACAGTGACCAGATCAACACACAGACATTAAGATGTTTAAATAAAAACTTTGCAAGAGAACACTCTGTCCGGCAGAACCACCTACCAGCAGTTTCAGTTGGGAAATCTATACTTCCCTTTTGTTTTACCTTCAGCTGTTTCTGTCTGGTCTTTAACTGTTTCTGTCTGTTGCATAACTGGTTTACTAACATTTGAATTGACTCTTGTATGTGTAATGTGATAGGATTGGTTAAAATATTGTGGTGAGGGGGAGGGTTAGGAACATAAGAACAGCCATACTAGGTCTTCCAACAGTGGCCAATGCCGGGTGCCCCAGAGGGTAATCATCAAGTGATTCATCCTCGGTTGCCCATTCCCAGCTTCTGGCAAACAGAGGCTAGGGACACCACCCCTGTCCATCCTGGCTAATAGCCATCGATGGACCCTATCCTCCATGAATTTATATAGTTTTTTTTAACCTTGTTTTAGTCTTGGCCTTCACAAAGAGATCCATTTTGGTCATGTTTCACTTGAGCTTAAAGCTAGACATCCACAAGGCAAAGTCAAAGAGACAGGCAGTTATAAAGATATAGTGATCAGCTGCCTTCAGCGAATCCCAACTCAAGTGCTCATGCCTCAGGTGAGCTAGCATGGAATCGAATGTCCACTGATGTGCCCACTACCTTAGAAATTCAATATAGATCGCGTGCAGGAATTAGCCCTTTTACAACATAAGACACCAAAATGCTAACACAAGTACTCCTGGAATCATTGTCCCCCAATTCCTTTTCATTATCTCTGATTCCTGATGCTTTTCCAGTTTTACTGCATTCTTAAATACAGTCATATACCTACTGTATTGTTTGAGACTATATCCATAGTGAATCTGCCATGCCAGTTCCTTGAGACATGTAGAGGAAAGATATGTAACATTTAGCAGAGCTGCTTTGGCCTTGCTCTGTAACTTAGCCTGTTGTACAGTATTAGTCCTCAATGAAAACAGTGCAGCTTACACCAGTGTGACTGTGGCATTCTGTAGTATTTTAAAATAATTTTATTAAGATAGTGCCACTTGTGTGCGTGGTGATTGGCAGAGAAATAAAAGTGACTGTCCCTTTCCCAGTTAACTTCCTGTCATAGTCTCCGATGTACCAAAGAACTTAAGCACACATGTAATGCCATTGAACTCAAAGGGCCTACACATAAGCATGCATTAACTTTCAGCCTAAGTGTTTTGGTGGATTAGAACCTAAAGGTCTGCGGTGTAGTTCTGAATGTCATAGCCCAATGTCAGGGAATGCCTGGAGGCATTCTAGCAGCCTGAAAACTCCCAAGAGCGCTGGGAGAATGGATGTCAAAACACCCTTTGTCAGGATTCAGTCTCCCTGCTTTAGCTCTGGACTAGAAGCCAGTGCACAAGAATCTAGCCAAGAAATGTATACGCCCCCTGTCACCATAGTATCTGAGCACTCACATTCCTTCAATGTATCCGCACAGCTCCCTTGCGCGGTAGGGCAATGCTATTATCCCCCTTTTACAGATGGGGAATTGAGGCAGAGAGAGACTAAGTGACTTGCCCAAGGTCACCCAGGAAGTCTGTGGTGGAGCTAGGCCATGAACCTGGGTCTCCTAGGTCCCACGTTGTACCATAGCCATTGGATCCGCCTTCTTCTCCATTGTCATTGTCACACACTCCACCTACTTTGGGGAGTTTAGTGACACCGACATTCCCCCACCACCACCCCTTTTGTGCTGCATGTGCGCTAGCTCTGAGTTTGTAGCTGGCTTTTGCTCTGGTGTGTAAGAGAAGGCAAGGGGAGGAAGGGCTTCTGTCCCT